TTGTGTGGAGTATGAATGAAAATATGATTGTTTAAACTGATTGCTTGTCTGGGCCAAATGGCCAATACATGCTTACTTGCATTGTGTGATGAGTACATGATATGTAACCTGTTGTATAATTTTGTATAATGTTATGAAATATATCTGAGTAAAATGATAAAAAGTAATGATGTTAATATCAAATGATTTACGGTTGAAATTGTATTAAGAAATGTATGCGTGAAATGGATTGGAATGGACTTAGTCTGGAAATGCTTTACTAAGCATGATCTTATGAGTGAGACGAAAGTGAATAACTCTGGAAATGACCTAAGAGTCAGATATGGATTTGATTTAGTGTGAATAGTTACAGAGATACACTAGGATTATAGAGTCTGAAGACGATAAAAATCTGGGGTAAAATGTAGAATGGTGAGCGACATTTGCATATGTGTACACACTTTTTCAAATAGTGAATTCGTCACATGGCCTCACACCTGTTTCCTGATAGACTCCTGACTATGCTTTTGCTAAGGGACCGATTATTGTACATGTTGTATCCATGTACATGGGCTAATGGCGACTATTTACCTAATTGAGTAAAACCTCGAGAAGTGCTGGAGGCATCGGTATCTGTGATCACAGTGCACTGGGAATGCGTGTTGGAATAAGAGAAAGGAAAATGGATGATAAAATATTGATTGTTATGTGTGATATGAATATGTTTGAGAATATGAATTCATGAAATTGAATGTGTTGTATTTATGTTAAAATTATGATTTTATGTTAAATGTTTGCAAATGGATAGAATAAACACTCATCCTTATTAATAATTTTAAGGAATTAGGATGATGGAGCCTCAAGGAAGGATTAGATTAATAAATAGTTATGTACATTTTAGGTTAAATTATGTGTTTAATGAGTATCAGAGAGTAAATTATTTTAAATTGTTGTACTGGTAAAAGATGAACCTAGGGTTTTTGTTATGATAGAGATGAATTTCTCTTGTAGTATCCCTTTTGACTTCCCTATGAGTGAAATACACTAGACTTAGACTTTGTGTGTCTATATGTACAGAGGTACAGTTAGGACCCGAGCAACCCTTACTTATCTTTTCACCCATCACGACCATGACTATCTCGGAAGACCTTCCAGATGGACCTTCGAGCACATCACTAAGACAGAGGTCAAAGCTGATTCAGGCGATGATTATCTAGGTTTAGATGATGACATAGACTCAGAAGACCTAGCTGAGATAGAGAGCTGGCACAGGGTTGATGAATAGGACTGATCTTCAGTATTGGTTTATGATTTGAGACTGCTCTAGGACTTCTATTAGTTTATGTAATGTACATATTATTTTAAGTTTTATACAATTTGATAAATGGTTTATAAATTATTCGACTCAATCGATGGAATATATGTACTGTCTTTTGACTTATGAATTATGATTATGTTTAATATATCATTCAAAATTTTTGCCATACCATTTATATTAGTCGGATTGGAAATAATTTGTACAAATTACTATATCGCAACAAAAATTTTATTAACCATTCATAATGAAGCCTTTTATACATAAATTAAGTATTTCACATTTAAATTATAAACAAAAAAAAATATTGTGCGGAATATTGATATAAGGATTTTACACCACACAATTCATGTTCATATGAATGTAGTAATCATTAATTATTCATCTTATTACATTTTCTCTCTATTAATACTCAGAGTTCTCATTTCACACTTTCACTGGTCCCTAGGATCCCTTAAGGTCTTCTTTAGCATAGATAGTTACTGAATAGCTGCAACTACATGAATGTCTCTTACGTACAGTTGTTATGCGCAAATCAAGGAGAGTAACCACCACCCTCATTTTTCTGAGATTTCTCAAATAGCTTTCATCTTCCACACTCATAGTGTATCTTCGAGCTATCCATACTTGTCCTTATCATTTTCCTTTCTTATTCCATTTCTCTCTTTATATTGCCCATCTCATTCCCATGTTCTTCATTATGGCTTTATTCCTCTCATTAGTCATTATAACCTGAACTCATTATTTTCATACTAACATATTCATCCTTTCATCTCTCTATTTTATTCAAGTTCATTATCTATATCACATACCAATCAAACATTGTCGGAGGTTGGTAACCCCTGGACTTAATCCACAACATACACACATATAGATATGCTCAAAATAGACATCATTCATAGCACCATTGGCATGATTTCCACCACAAAAATCACAAGTCAGCTGAGTGTTCTGAACTGGTCTAGCTTTAAGATTACTAATTTATTGAGTTAGGGTAGCAATCTATTCAGAAAACAACTGATTCTACAACTGATTTTGTGCAAGAAGAGTTTCTATAGCTGATAAGTCTGTAATTAGACCCTATTTTACAGCCCATGTATTCATATTTGACCTTTATTTTATTTGGTGCTCACACTAATTTATATATTAATTATGCAGTTTTGTATAAATATGTTGCAAGTATACTTTGGGTGTGTTTTTGGGCCCAAATTGATAGAAGATTAGAGCTTCGCAACAGTCAGCACGCCCAAACCCTTTCAACAAGCATGAGGGTGCTTCAAGCCCATGTACGGCCATGCTCATCTGCGGGAAGCCCAATTATGAAGAATCTTTAGGGTTTTCAAACCCTATTAAAAGGAAGACCTAAGGCACTATTGAGAGGAACATTTTTACATCTAGTCTTTGGCTTTCGGATACACTTCTCATCTTGTCTCTCTTGCACGGGATCCTTGGCACATGCTTGATGAGACTTGGAGCTTCAAGCAATCGTACTTGAAGACCGAGAACACATCTCATACTCTAGTTTGCTATTTCTTTTAATTATGGCTTGTTTATGATTGTTTTAGTTTTTTTCTTTAAAATGAGTAACTAAGTCCATAGCTAGGGCTATGGGAACTAGTGTTCATGAATTTATGGAACTTTGATGTTCGAATCTAAATTTGATTTCTGTTTTGTGATTAAATTTTATCTTATTGCGCTTCTTTCTTAATCCTAATTAATTATATCGTCAGACAACCGTACCTCGATTAATTAATAGATCTATAGGGTAAAACGAGACAAAGGATGAGGAGGACCAAACCAATTTTTCTCTCCTAATCGTTATTAAATTAACAAGTTCGTAGGCTCATTAAGCTTTCTTAAATTAATGTCTTGCATGACTGTTCGGAGGGTAAGTGTACCCATCGAGAAGTAATAAAGAGTTCTTAAATTAAGTTCACGAAATATCGTCCCACAAGGATTGATTTCCAATTACTAAGATTTTTCTAATTTAATTGTTTAAGCTTCAAAGATACAAGATTAATTAAAAACAAGAATTTAAAAAATCAATTATAAAATTAAAAGCAAGGAATACACTGCACGCCTTGGTTAAACTTATCGGAGAGGAACCTAGGGCATATGAGTTTTCTCATTCAATCCTTTGTTATTTTTCTATTTAACTCTAAATTCAATTTCCTTGTGATTACCAATCATTCATACGAATACTATTAATACCCAATGGTCATGCAATATTAATATTCTTTTCTCTAAATTAACATCCTCAATGGTCATGCAAGACATCAATTTAAGAAAACTTAAGGAACCTATGAACTTGTTAATTTAATAACGATTAGAAGAGAAAGATTGGTTTAGTATACCTAATCCTTTGTCTCATTTTACCCTATAGATCTATTAATTAACCAAGGTACGGTCGCCTGATGATATAATTAATTAGGATTAAGAAAAGAGCACAATAGGATAAAATCTAATCACAAAACGAAAATCAAATTTAGATTCAAACATCAAAATTTCATAAATTCATGAACAATAGTTCCCATAGCCCTAGCTATGGACTTAGTTACTCATGCTAAAGAAAATAACTAAAACAATCATAAACAAAGTCATAATCAAAAGCAAAATAGAATGAGATGAGTTTCTGGTCTTTAAGTACGATCGCTCGAAGCTTCAAGTCTTGCTAAGCATGTGCCAAGGATCCCGTGCAAGAGAGACGAGATCAGATGTATTCTAGAGCCAAAGCCAAGATGTCAAAAATTGGTCTAAAATGGTGTGTCCAATGGTGCCTCCAGTCTTTCCTTTAATAGGGTTTGAAAACCCTAAAAACTCTAATTGATTGGGCTTCCCGCAGATGATAACGGTCGTGCAAGGACTTAAGCACGACTGTGCATGAGCTCAAAGCACCCCCCCCCCGTGCTTGTTTAAAGGGGCTGAGCGTGCTGACTGCTGCGAAGCTCTAATCTTCTATCAATTTGGGCCCAAAATGCACCCAAAATATACTTGCGGCCTCTTTATACAAAATTACACAATTAATAAATAAATTAGTGTAAAACCCAAATAAAATAAAGATTGAATATGAATATATGTGCTATAAAAGAAGGCCTAATTATAGACTTATCAATGACCATTGGGGATGTTGATTTAGAGAAAAGAATATTAATATTGCATGGTCATTGGGTATTAATAGTATTCATATGAACGATTGGTAATCACAAGGAAATCGAATTTAGAGTTAAACAGAAGAATAACATAAAGGATTGAATGAGAAAACCCATATGCCATAGGTTCCTCTTCGATAAGTTTAACCAAGACGTGCATCGTATTCCTTGCTCTTAATTTTAGAATTAATTTTATAAATTTTTCTTTTAATTAATCTCATATCTTTGAAGCTTAAACAATTGAATTAGGAAATTCTTAGTAATTGAAAAATAATCCTTATGGGACGATATTTCGGGAACTTAATTTAAGAACTATTTATTACTTCTTGATAGGTATACTTGCCCTCCGAACAATAGCTATAGCTTCATATCCATTATTTCTTCCAAAATGTCTTGAATTAGAATTATGGTACATAGAGGAAGCTATCATCTCAATAGTTCTTTGAGCTTCTTCTAGAGATTTAGTGTTCAATGAACCTTCTGCAGCTACATCTACCATAGTTTTGGTTGCTACATTCATTCCATTATAAAGTATTTCCAGCTGCATCCATTCTGGAATACAATGATGTGGACATCTCTGTAAGAGCTCCTTGTATCTTTCTTAAGCTTCATAAAGTGATTCTCCTTCCTGCTGTATAAAGGATGTGATTTTTCCTCTCAACTTGGCAACTTTGGATGCAGGAAAGTATTTAGTTAAGAACTTGTTCACAAAGTTTGTCATGTGGTGATACTTCCTTGAGATTGTGCTTGCAGCCAGCATTTAGCTTTGTCTCTAGAATTATGCAGAACTAAAGAAATTATGCAGAACTAATATAAAAAGAATGAACAGTGTGCAGAATTAACTCCAGAATAATATGCAAAACAAAATAGAAAAAAGAAATTATAAGAAACAGAAAACAAAAGCTCAATATAATTGTCTTTTTGTTACTAATGATATTGAAAATAACTAAATCCTGTCAATGACATCAAAAACTTGTTACTTTCACAATGTGTGCACTAAAGTAATCTCATTAGCAAGTGTACCAGTATGGTTATAGCAAGTTATAAATTTTTGAAATCAATGTTGTGCCCCAAGTATCGTCCTCAGGGATTGGTTTTCACAATTATCACTTCACAAATTATCATTTAGTTGAGGCATAAAATTGATTGGAGAGTTTGCATTATGTAAAAATAAAAAATAACAAGTATAGAAAGATTTAAACTTGAAGTAAAACAGAACTAAGAAAATTGTATTAAGATGAGATGTATGAATGAAATAGAGTTAGGAAATTACTTCACCAAAATTTCAGTGTTGACTCAATCATGTTCTGAACATTCAAGTATTTGATTTGGTTGACAATCGGACATAAATTATTAGTCAAAGGTTAATCCATTAATTCAATGACCTTAACATTCAACTCAATTACCCTAATCCCTTAGGTGTAATTCAATTAAGTGTTGCATTAGGAATTAGAAACCAAAGAATTGCAAGATTAAGATGACTTATCCCTAAGAAATCACTAATCTTGGTAATTAATTCAGATTTGAGAAACAAATCCAACTTTCATTGGTAAAAGGTTCTTTTTTATTAGTTAATTGAATTTCTATCCAAAAACTACTATACTAACAAAATTAACTACTCAGTCCATTCAAATACTCAAAGTTCAGATCCAAAATCAAATCAATACTTCCATTTCAGATTCATAAATCCCTAACTACAAAAGTTTAGAGGGCCATTACAACATGAGAAGAGAAAGAAAAAGAAGAAGAAAATGAGCAAAGAAACATCTTCAATCTGATTTCTCAAGATGTGAAGTTTAGTTTTCGTCCCCAATCTCTCTCTCTGACTCTCTCAAGATGAGAAAATGAATGGAAAAATAAGATGGCAAAAGATCCCCAATATCTGGACTGCACATGTATTTATAGTTTTTTCCCACTCTTTCTGACGTGTATACTTCAAATGGTTCAAGTGTACACGTAGAAGGTCTTCTGGAATCTTCTTGCATTGAGGTGAACGCTTTAAACGCTTAGAGTGAACACTTAAAGTAGTTTTGTAACACCTTAACTTAATTTTCAAATAAATAAATTTCACAAAAATGACAATAATAAAAATTTTCATTCAAACGGTTCTCAATACATAGTTCATTAAAGTATTTCAAAATAGGATGGATTACAAATTTGAATCAATCATTGCTACAGGACTTAATTAATGCATTTTAGTTCTAAAAATAAATATTCTAAGTCCTATAGCAGTATCATCCATTGATGTAACATATTTTATATTTACATTTAATGTTTTATTTTGATTAATAAATACTTTTCATATACTTTAATTTTTATAGTTTTTACCATTTTTTACTTATTTGAATAAATTGGGCCTATTACAAATAAATGTTTTAATTTTGAATTTTCGGTTATTCTGATCTCTGACTACTCTTTTGGCCATAATTTTTTCTGCAGATATCATTTTTGGCGGATTCTAAATGCATTAGTTCTATACATCTAGGGTTTCAAAATGCATATATGGATCGCTGAATTTGGAATTGTTTTAAATTTTTTATTATTTTTTGAAGTTAAGGCAGATTTGCTTAATATTGTTGCGAGATTGCATGTAGACCCTTGTTATTTAATAATTGTATTTAGGCTTTTAGATATTACTGACACTCGCATTTTGGCCACTTAATTTACCATAATCAGAACTTATAAATAGACTAATAAGGTTCTAAATTAGGGGAGGTGATTAGACACTTTGAGCTTTTGTGACTTGCCCAGAACAAGAATCCTTATTTTTACTTTCTCTTGAACTTTCTCATTCTTTTCTCATTTTTGCGTGGGTTAAGCGTTTCAATAGAAGGCTAAACCTCTCGTTTAATCCGCTGAATCCAAACATTGTAGTTTTGACTTGAGTTCTGCGCTAATTGCTCCGAGTTTGTTCTCTTTTTCTCTCTAATCTCAGAATTATTTATTGCCATCATGATTGACTTTTCTGTTGTTAGATTTCAAATTAGGACTCAATTGATGCTCTAATTTGATAATTAATACGAATTAGATTAAATGATTATTTGATTTAATTCATAACTCTATTCAATTAGGTTATTTGATTGAATTAATAATTAAATTGGGTGATTGTTCAAACGTAGATTTAAATCTTTAGATACTGTGATAGTCGGAGTTACACGCAATTGGTATTCTGTGGATTGATGTTTCTTAATTCATTTTTTACTTACTTTAATTCTATTCGTAATTTAATTGGATTAATTGCAATTTTCAAAGTTCAAAAAACCTTATTTTCATTTTTCAAAAGAAATCCTAAAATTGAATTTGACTGAGCATATGTCTCCGTGAATCGACCTAGGTTTGATTCTATTCAATAAAATCTTTAGAAAACTTAGTTGTTTTGATAGCGACTTGGCAATCGTCTTTAAAATTGGTGCCGTTGCCAAGGACGCGTTGTCGGTTTTGATTCATTTTAGGGTTTAGTATTGCGTTTTCACTTTCTAATTCGTAATTTTGTTTTCGTCTTTGTTTCATTTCTATCTCTATTGTTGTGATTTAATATTCTTATTTGTTCATTTATAGGGTATGTTTAATTTCAATTTTTGTCAGTTTGTTTTTATTTTGTTGAATTTGACTATTTTAGTGCATTTTGAATTTTAGATTATTTTTTGAATTTTAAATTTTGAATTTTGGATTCAGATTTTATATTTTTTAAATATTGGATTAATAGCATATTGTTGCTTAATTGTGTGATTTGTAGAGATTTTGTATAAATCTTGCAGAGATAAGGAGCAACGGATAAGGATCTCTTGGATTTGGTCACCTGAAAAATAAACATATGGTGAGTACTCTACATTATTACACACAAGCAAGAAGTCTCACCTTCACACATTACCTATATTTTATCACAAGATTCAATTCATGCATCAAACAACACATTTACTACTTTTCGACATTTCATAACAATTCACAAACAAATGCGCTCAATGTACCATTAAATAATCCACAAACATGTGCACTCACTACACATAGACATGCTCACTATGGCATTGAGATCACAGTTTCTTGATACCCTCAACCTCAGGGACTTACTCAGTTTCACACCATGAATGGTCGCCGAATAGCTCCCACTCCACAGATACAACATGTGTGATATTGAGCCCTCCAAGTAAAGGTGTTAGTCAGAGGCCGAGTCAGGAGAAGAGTGTGTGGCTTATGGTACAACCATGCTCACTATTGGTGTCACCACCACCTTCTCTTGCTTAAGGTATTTCTACCGCTCCCATCTTCCACACCCTTAGTGTATCGTTGAACCATCATTGTTTCCAATCATTCCAAACATCATCACAATCACATCCAACATGTCATTCACAAACATTTCTAACCTTTCAAATTATTCAGCATCAATCAATGGCATGCAACCATACACAATCGCCCATAATGAGTTCGACCATTTCATCACACATCATATTCAACATCAATCACATTGTATTCAAACACACAACATTTCCCATCACAATCTATACCAATAAACTCATTCTATCATAAACACTATTCAACATCCATCACACTGTATTCTACACAATCTTTCCATCAAAATCTTATCATAATCAAATCATTTTCATTAAGACATACATCCTACTACGTTTCAATCATTCACATTATAACACATATCAAAATAACGAATTTCAAATATAATGAGATAGGGTAGAGTCCCCCTTACCTCAGAATGAAGAGCCAACACAAAATCTATGATGAAAGTACTTCTCACACGAACTTTCGTCCTAAATATAGAGAAAACCCTATGAGGAACCGAGAAATCAAAGAAAAGGATGAAAACCTGAAACCCTAATCTATAGAACTTACCTCTAAACGCTCCAAACACAATCTCAACCTTCAATCTTACATCCCAAACAGCTTTAGAGACAGTTTAAATGGTGAAACAAGGTCGAGAGAATCGAAGAGAGTTTGAAGAGAGGGATGAGAAATGAGCTTCCTAAATCCTAAACCCCTCCAATACCCTTTTGATCACAACACTGAATCTCGCTACAACGACACCCTCTCTCTTTATGAAAATCTTAGAGGAAACTGTACTCGGGTTTCTGTAAAATCTCTCTATAGTGAGATTACATCTAGAAATGCACACTCCTCTGTTGCTCTCTCGCTACAACGAGAATGTAATAAAATCATGCTTCTCGCTCAGGGCCTTCTCGCTACAGCGAGAATGCCTCTACAGCACACACTTAACTAATATTTTGAATCAATCCAACCACATCCAATCTCTCAATACACAACCGACATCCATAATTATACATACATACATATATTCATCTACACGTATTCACACATATACACATACATTCACATCATCATACTTATCAAATACCCATTCAAATAGAAATTCACAATTTATATTAATATATGAAATATCATTACAAAATTTGGGGCATTACAGGTTCTACAAGATTTTGTCATGTGCATTAACACTTTAAGTTTGAAGTGTTAACACGCAACCTTCGTTTAGCCAAAACCTCTCTGAAGTGAACACTTTATGTGCTGAAAGTGGTAACGCTCAGTTATCTATAATGCGCATATTAACTTTGAGAGTTTGAAGTGTTAATGCGCATGTCTATCTTAGAATTTAAGCTTACGCATAATAACTGAGTGCTTGAAGTGTTAACGCGCATG